TTTTGTTCGTTGAATAGTCGATTTATATAAATTAGCCAACTAGCTCTATTGTGAGAACATACTGGTTTCCTGGTGCCATTTATTCAAGGCTGGGTTGGCGCTATTCCTGGGTCAAAATTTAACCTGTTGTTTTGGGTTTTGTATTCTCGCATATCCGTATATTTCAAACTTTAGAAATTAAAAATTCTATATATTGATCCCGACGGGATTTCTGAAAAATACTTCCATGTTTATAAACTTTTGCTGTTGGGAATATTGCTTTGAAGTTTGTTGTCAACCCTGGATTAAGATAATCGGCTTTTAAACAACCAACCCATGGTGAAGTACACTTTGATCCTTATTGAAGGTGAAGTATACTTTGATCCATTTCTTGTACTAATTCAAAATTTATTTACCCGTAGGAGCTAAAACTTGATCAAAATTAATTCACTACACTTTTACCAATGATTTACACCTATGGGCACACAGACGGGGGCCAAACTTCAAGTCTGCGGCTAGAATTAATCATAGTCTTACATGGGACAATTTCTATGAGCATACGTTGTAATTATATTTTCTTGTGTTGGCTTGTCAAACATTTTACATATTAATTCAATTCTCAATCTTAATTTCAGACAACTACGTTAATCGGTTTACTGAAGACTGCTCGATTACTGCGTTTGGTTCGAGTTGTAAGAAAGCTCGACTATTATTCTGAATATGGTGCGGCAGTCTTGTGTCTCCTGATGTTGGCTTTTGCTCTCATTGCTCATTGGTTGGCTTGTATATGGTATGCTATTGGGAATATTGAACGGAAAGATCCTACAGTCCGTGGCTGGCTAGATGCGCTTGCAGAGGACACCAATCAACCTTATAATAGTTCTCATCTTAACAGTGGGCCAAGTCAACAGTCTAGATATGTCACCGCCTTATATTTTACTCTCAGTAGTTTGACGAGTGTCGGTTTTGGGAATGTTTCACCGAACACGAATGCTGAGAAAATCTTCAGTATATGTGTTATGCTCATTGGGTGTAAGTATTTTTATTTGGCAAAAGGATTACACCAGTAAAGCTGTCGGTTGGTTAATAAACCAGTTGGTTGGTGAGTTGCTGCGACGGTCAGTTGATGGGTAGCTTGGTCAATCAGTCAATGGGTCTATCTGTCCTTCGGGCGGTTGGTTGGTTGGTTGGTTGGTTGGTTGGTTAGTTCGTCAGTGGCGTGTTAGTTAGTTAGTGTGTCAGTTGGTCATTCAATTTAGGTCTGTCCATCGTCATTGCGTATGTTAGTTAGTGGGTCAGTTGGTTTGTCGGTTAGTGTGTCAGTTGGTTTGTCAGTCGATCATTCAATCGTGATCTGTCTATCGATCATTCCGTCTGTTGGTTAGTGTGTCGGTTGGTTTGTCAGTCGATCATTCAATCGTGATCTGTCTATCGATCATTCCGTCAGTTGGTTAGTGTGTCAGTTGGTTTGTCAGTCAACCATTCAATCGTGATCTGTCTATCGTTCATTCCATCTGTTGGTTAGTTTGTCAGTTGGTTTGTCAGTCGATCATTCTCGATCATTCAATCGTGATCTGTCTATCGATCATTCCATCTGTTGGTTAGTGTCTCGGTTGGTTTGTCAGTCGACTGTTCAATTGTGATCTGTCTATCGATCATTCCGTCTGTTGGTCAGTGTGTCAGTCGATCATTCAATCGTGATCTGTCTGTCGATCATTCCGTTTGTTGGTTAGTGTGTCAGTTGGTTTGTCAGTCGACCATTCAGTCGTGAGCTGTCTATCGATCATTCCGTCAGTTGTCATTCGATCATTCTGTCATTCCGTCTGTCGGCTGGTTGTTTTGTCTGTCGGTCACTGGACGTGTCTGTCATGGCCCACGATCGATTGGTGGGTCCATCGTCGGCCTGTCTTACCATTTTACTAGGGTAAAATAGAGCAATTTTCTCAAAATGGAAAACACCTTTCGTTTTAGCGTTGTTCTATGCTGCTGTATTTGGCAATGTCGCTGCTATAATCGCACGTCTTTACTCGAGTACCGCGCGTTTTCATGAACAAATGCAGAAAGTTCGAGAATTTATTCGTTTTTATCAGCTGCCGAAACATCTACGACACAGAATTGAAGATTACGCACATCATCAATGGTCCTACACGAATGGTATTGATATGACTGAGGTAATGATCATGTAGAAAAAAACACATATATTGTAAGATTAGTCTCTTTTGCCATTGTGGTTGCATAACTGTGCTTGCTTTGGTTCTATACGGATGGGTGTCAATAACTTCTCACGTTCCATGGGGTGAAGTCCATTACAGGTGGTTCCTAGATGAGAAGGTGGTACTCGTTTACTGACCAAGATGTAACACAAGGGACGAACTAACTCCAGGAGTCGGGTTCATCTTTGATTTTACTGCCAAATTTGTCGAAAATATGAAACAACACTAACAGGATGCATATTTGTAATTAACTTACAACCTTTTTAAAGTTTACTGTCTCTGGTGAAGAAATGCCGCGAGTGGCACGCTATTCTAGCTCAGGTTACCATTGGGACCCTATATATCACTCCTTTATCGGGTACATTCCATAATGCTGGATGTTTTCTTTAGGTGATACGATGTCTACCAGATTGCCTGCAAGCAGATATCTGTGTGCACATGCATCGTCAGTTAATTTCAGAAAAGAAAGTGTTTACCTCTGCAAGTCGTGGTTTCTTGAGAGAATTTTCACTGAAATTAAAGACAATTCACCTACCTCCTGGTGACTATATTCTCTATGATGGAGATGAAGTCGATACTTTATATTTTATATCTCGTGGCACCATTGAAATTGTCGACGATAGAGATTTCATTTTAGCCATTTTGGGTAAGTACGTAATATTTTTATTTTTTTATATAGCCTGATAAAGAGAACACCGGTTCATTGTGAGGGGGGG